CCCCCCCCCCCGCCCCGGGCACTAACTCTCAGCGCAGACCGTCACGGTAACCGATCGGCGGGATTTGGAAGAGTTTTCTGAGGAAATGAGTAAAATGACCACGACGTGGGAAATATCCGATTCGGAAGCCGAAGAGGATAAAGAATCAAAAGGCACTTTACAAAGTGGCGAAAGGTCTCGCGACTCCGGAGAGAGAAGCGTTTCGGTTCCGCCGCCATCGTTGGAACGCGATCGGCCGAGTCCGGCAAAAAGGCGCCGTTCCAAGGAGGAGGTCGAGGCGGACCGGGACCAAGCCGGGCGACGGAGGGAGGCTCGGGAGAAGAACCGAGCCGCGAAGGAGCGACAGAAGCAGGAGAAGAGAAAGGAGCAAGAGAAAAGGAAAGAGGCCGCGCAACGTCTCAAGCCGGAGAACTGTCTCCGATCTTTGACGGTGTGCGTAGATTCAGGTCGGTTGGCCCTTTTCGATCTCTCTTCAAGCCAAAGACAAAGCTTTCTCTGCGACGTCACTGGGGTCGAACGACTCTCTCTCACCTCTCCGTCCTCGGTTCTTGCAGCTCTCCTGCAACAGCCGGGCTGCGACGTCCTGCTGGGCACCCTCTCTTCTTTCCAATGGCGGTACAGCATCCGACAGCAAGCGCTTGCCAACAGCATCACGTGGACCAGGGATTTACCTCAGGTGGAGAGCTCCTCTTCCTCTCTCTGTGCGTTCCGGCCAAATGTGCGAAAAGCCAAGAGAATATCTCAGTCCGCCGCGTTGCTCAACGGTGTCTCCAGCTGACCGAGGGTGCCGCCGGAACGGTTGCGGAGGACCAACTGGTGCAGGTGCTCAGCGCATCCCAATTCGTCGACGTCGTCGTCGCCGTGAAAAAAGTAAGCCGGAGTTTCCCAACCTGCGTTGAGACAAAGCGCATGAATTCCAGCAGAAAACGTACAGTACTGCGTCGGTGCCATTTGGCTGCTGAAGTGAGTCGAGGAGCTTCATTTCACGCAAGACTTTGCTGTCGTCTCGCGGCATCCGTATTACGCTAGAAACGTGTTGGGCCGGGTGTCTAAGAAGTCATTTTTGCCATTGCGATTTGTAGGACTTTTGTTTTTAGCCATCCCATTTCGAAAATCTGAAGCCCCAACCTGCCGCGTTGGCCTCTTTGAAATGATGTCATTTCTGCAGCTGATTGACAGCGACGGGGAAGAACTCGAGGGGCATCCCGTCCCGGGTCCGTTGGCGGAGGGCTTCCGACTTGATGCGGCGAAGGTGGCCACTCTCTTGGTCACAGAGTCCCGTCCGGAGTCCAGGTGAAGACGGCCGACAAAGATATTTCTCGCGCAGTACGAGACTCGTCGGTCAATCGCGAGTCGCGACCGATCCTTCTGGCATGGAAGTAAAGGCGACAGCCGCGCCCGACTCACTTGCGCTTCTGACCGCCAGGAGGGCCGCCTTGGCCGAAACGATCCGCTCCAGATGCGGCGGGGGGAACGCGGACGTCGAGGAGGTCGGTAGCGTCTCATCCGCCGAGGCGACGCGACGCCCGCGAGTCGCCGACCTTTGCGCTCCCTTCAGGTTCTCGTGTTTCTGCAGCTGCGGAAGAACGTGGCCGTCTTCTTTGTGGAAAGCTGGCGGGACGTCACCGACCACGTGTGCGCCGTCACCAAGTCCTTGTCCAAACGGCCTTCGAAGTACGCAGCGCCGCCCGCACCTCGGTGACTCGGCCAAAAACTCTTTAAGTCCGGAATTGAGCCGCAACCCGACTTGGCGCTCGCGCGTGTTGACACGACGGCACGGGCGGGGAACCCTGAGAAAGAATTGCAAATGAAATGCGTTTTCCCAAACGTCTCACGCCGATGCGACCGATTGACCTTTGCCGCGGCGTGACCCGCCCGCAGGCAGCTGACGGAGCGAGCGGAGCTGCCCTTCTGCGCCGAGGGCTCGTGGGCCGGCGGGGCGCGCGTGGAGAAGGACGGCTCCGGCCTCCGACGGGTGTGGAGCGAGCAGATCCGGCAGCTCAACAGGGTCGGCGGGGCCACCGCCTCCCGCGTGACCGCCGCGTACCCGTCGCCGCGGCTGCTGCTGCAGGTACGACTTTGAGCTCGGGGGACGAGCCGCGTCGGGTGCGGGCAAATGTTGGCGCTGAAGAGCCAGATTTGATTTGGAAAACGGACGGATCAGTCAATATTTGAACTCCCTCTATGATTGAAACCGTTGTCCGGGTGGAGCGCAGAAGTTCAAGACGCCACCGTTGTTCAAAAGTGCTTTGGAAATCGGGTCGAGTTGATTGCGCCAGATATCGAGACGGTCTCCTTTGTGGAGTCGGATCGCCTTCCGGTTTTGAATTTGCGCTACTTCTTTCCTTCCCGCGTTGCCGACCAGGCTTACAGGGCAGCGCGTTCAGAGGAGGAGCGCGAGAAGCTGCTGGCCCATCTGGCGGTGAAGGGCGACGGCAAGGACAGGCGGGTCGGGCCCGAGATTTCCGCCAGAGTTTACCGCTGCCTCACCGCTCAGAACCCAGAACTGGTCCTGGACTAACTCCAACGATGGTTTTCCGTCTCGCTGCGCGCCATGTCGCCGAGCCGCTCTCACGTGACCGTTGAAGTCAAGAAGCCAAACGTCTGCCTCGGGGATTCGCTTCCAAATAACACCACGCCGTCCGTCATGCAAGGAAATCCATTTCGAATAAAAATGATTCAATTCAAAACAAATCTGCAGCAGAGCTTTTGTCTTTTTTTTATTCTTATTTTTGGAAGGAGTGTCCAAGTAAGAAAGTGAAAAGTTACAAAATGTCCTTGACAAAGTATCAAAAATAATTCATTTCCTTCCCGGTATCCATGCCTCCGATTAGAGTCCTGCTCTCCTGCCCCCCCCCCCCCCCAATAATTGTTTTTTCTTCTGATCTGTTGAACATCACTTTTAAATTCATTCCAAAGACAGCAAGTCATTAAAGCAGAGGTAAAAAATGCTCTCTCCATTTTTCATGACTTCATTTCTATTTGTTTTGACTTCAGTTGGATTTGTTTTAAACGCTTCAATTTAATTTAGTTATCGTTATTCGTTTTAGCTTTGCACAGTGTACGTTAGTATTTGTTGAGTGCCAAAAGTAACATATTGCAATTCTCAAATGACTGTTTGACAAACAGTCATTCCGAAATAAAAACATTGACAATAAAGCCGGAAGGCCCAAATGAATGCAAAAGGAAAGTCCAAAACTCTAATGGCCTTGACCGTCGTTTTCTGAATATGATCACGCACGTGACGTCACGTGACCAAAGCCAGAAAATAGGCGAGCCGTGACGCAACGCGAGCCCGAGGGCACTTGCACGTGACCGTTTCGGCGACAGTCGGGTACGATGTTTGATAAAATGCCCGCCTCCTTGGATGAATGGAAAGCGGGGGATTCCCCTGCTCCCTTACGAAGCCCCAAATGCAGAATGGCGTACTTAGACAAGTCGAACATTTGGACAGCCACTTTCTGCTCTCTGCGAGACGCGACACTCGTCACTCGGGTCACATGGGTTGAATTCGGACAAGTGAGGCATTTCTCCATTTGCGGTGGGGGAGAAACAAAGTGGATGTTTTCTCATCGGTTCTTAAACAGCAACAACTGAACATTTGCCGCAGACTTACCGACGGGAGTCGCACGCGTCATGTCCAGCGGCATCTTTTCCTCCGATAGTCTTCCGGCTCTGAGCTTTCATCGTCGTCGCCGCCGCCGAGGGGTGTCGGGGGGCCGCGCGGTGACTCAAAACAAGGTTCCGAGAGCGGCGCGGGCGAGTCACGGGCGCCGAGGACGACGGGGCCGGACGGGCGGCCGGCGTCCCCCTCGGCCCGCGTGACGGAGAACACCCAGCCCAGCCGGCGGCGCAGGAGGGCGAGCAGGCCCGCGGGCAGCTCCAGCGCGCTCAGTACGTCCGGGCAGGAGGGGAGCATCCGCCGGAAGCGGGCGCAGCACAGGTACTGCAGGGAGGTGGGCGCGTAGCAGGCGCGGATCACCTTCATGCTGCTCTTGGCCGCCGTGGAGCACAACATGGGGTACAGCTTCTTGTTCTGCAGCCGAGTGGCGGCGACACCTGCGGGCCGAGGGCGGGGATGTCGTTCAGTGCTTTGCGGCGCGATTATTTCCCTTCGCGCGGCTTTCTGCGGTGAAAACCCAACGGTGAAAAAAACAACATTGTCCCTTCTCGCGGGACGACCGGCATCGTGTGGCGAATGTCCCCGGCAAAGTCAAACCTTCACGAGTTGAGGAACACACCTACGCAGCGTCGATTCTTGTAGATGGTCAAGGTACCGTGCCAGGTGTCCAAGTGCAGTCCGATGATGGAGCCTTGACCAAACCGGGGCGAGAAGCTCACTTTCTCACCTTTGTGTTGCAGGAGACCTTGAAGAGACCAAGACGAAAGGGTTGCCGTTTCCCGGAGAAGCCCCGAGATGGCGGCAAAGCACAGCGTGCGCGGCCAGACCGAAGTCCGCTCCTCCAGAAAGTGCGGAGCCCAAACCTGTGTAGGAGAGCCCCCAGCTGTCTTCGTCGTGACCCAACAGGCTGCCAAAGTTATACTTGAATTTCTCCAGGTTCACCTCCGCGGTTCCGATGCCGACCATCTACGGGGCCCAAATACAAACGAACGGGAGAGGGACTTGACCGACGTGGCTTCGCGCGGCGGCGTATTTGCATCGGCCGCACCATGTCGGTTCCGTAGACGGGCGAGGTCATCTTGACTTCCCAGAAGTGTTGTCCCTCGGCGAGCTCTCTGGCGCCGCGGACGGCGGCCGTGCCGCAGCTGTAGTCCGAGTGGAAGCTCACCTTGCGGTCGTCGCAGCTGAGGACGGCGCCGGAGGACTTGGCGTGCTCGTCCCAAACCCAGTCCAAGTCTGAAAGAGCGAAAGGTTGATTGGGGCGGGAGTTTTTTCGGAAAACTGCCCGGTCTCGCGCGCTCTCCCAAGATGACGGCGCGAGCGGTAGATGAGGGCGGGCGCCCGATATGCGGAACCCCCCCCTCAGCGCACCCGAGGAGTCGACGGCGGCCAAAGATTTCTTTGAGTCGAGATGTGGCCACTTGCTATTCTGTCAAATCTGATCTCAACTCCGCGCCGTGGGCCAGCCGCGATGCGAGCTGGAAGGCCGGCGTTGATGGTCGGGCTCACCGTCGTCGTCGTCTTCTCCGCAGAGGCAGTCGGCGCCCGTTCCGAAGGCCGCGTTCGGCTCGTCCGCCCAGGCGCACTGGCAGAAAGACTCGCCAAGCACCGGCGCGGGGCTGGACGGCGCCGCCGCTTCCGTCGGCGCGGGGGCCATCCGGGAAGTCGCCGGCTGATCCGTCTCGGGCTCGGGATCGGCGCCACTGAGCTGCGTGACGCAAACGACAGGACCGCACGATCTCGCAGGCTCGCCAAAGTGGTCAGTCGCGGCGCAACGGTTCTGAGTAGCTTTATCGAAAAATAATAAGTACACCATCATGCTCTAGAAATACACGAGAGTTTTTGGGCCTTTTTTAGGCTAGCTGTGTTGACTTGTTTGAAGAAATTGTGGAAGCGAGCCATCTGCAAACTGTACCGCTCAGAATAATAACAAAAAATCTGGCAATATGGAAGGAGGAACAGCGTACCTGCGTTGTTGTTGTTGTTGTTGTTTGGCTTTCCCATTCTTCTTCTCCTTCAGCAGACGTCGACATCACTGTGACGCAATCCACCCCGTGGCGCATTTCGCTCCAGGCCGAACGTGGAGGCCGGCCGCTCTTTCCCCTTCTCAGCATGGACGAGTGCAACCTGAAGAGCCAGCACCCGCTTAGCAGCATTCCTGGAAGCACGCTGAGCCTTTTCGTGACATTTTGAGGGCTCATTTAGGTAGCGCGCAGCCCCCAAAGTTAGGGGGAGCAGATTTCGTAATCTTTGGAAACTAAAGCAACAGGTGGATTTTTTATTTTGTTTTATGTATTTTTTGGCTTCTACGTCAAAGCTATAAATTACACCGCAGGGTCAAATCGGCATTGTGCAAGCTTTCATGGCTTTCCCATTCTTCTCCTTCAGCAGACGTCGACATCACTGTGACGCAATCCACCCCGTGGCGCATTTCGCTCCAGGCCGAACGTGGAGGCCGGCCGCTCTTTCCCCTTCTCAGCATGGACGAGTGCAACCTGAAGAGCCAGCACCCGCTTAGCAGCATTCCTGGAAGCACGCTGAGCCTTTTCGTGACATTTTGAGGGCTCATTTAGGTAGCGCGCAGCCCCCAAAGTTAGGGGGAGCAGATTTCGTAATCTTTGGAAACTAAAGCAACAGGTGGATTTTTTATTTTGTTTTATGTATTTTTTGGCTTCTACGTCAAAGCTATAAATTACACCGCAGGGTCAAATCGGCATTGTGCAAGCTTTCATTGGTCAAACTTCCAAACCAAAAAAATGAATGTGTCTCAAAAACCAAAAGCAAGAAAAAAAAAAAAACGGCTTTGAAATCCGCATCAAAAATACATTTCGGTACAACAACGGCATCCCTGATGAAAGTCGTCTGCTGACCAGTGTGATCGCAAAATAAAAAAAGGTAACATTTTATGAATTTGTTTGTCATGCAGCCTAAGCCAATTACCCGATGGAATCACCGAAGAGCGAATCCATCCGAACTTGACAACTTCAAAAGGGGCTCGGGCAAAAGAGCAAATGTGACAAGGTTCTTGATGGCGTCACTGCCCCCTGTGGGGCAGGCAGGCCGCGTGCGGGATATGTGCCCACCACCCGCGCGTCGGACGCTCACGATTGATTTGCCGACCTCATGCGCGAAGGAAGACAAACACCAGCTTCAGGGTGACTTTGGGGGGGTTCGGCCATTCTCGCAATTCAATGCAGCAAAAGGAGGGACACGTCTTGTGGAATGGCGGCTCCCTCAAATCAGACCGACTTTCAGATGGGCTCCGACCTCAACCAAGCAGAGCTTCCTTGGAATGCGCATTTGGTGCGCACCCGATTCCAGGGTCCTTGCGGTTGGCAACCACGAGGAGAACAGCTTGCGTTCTCGCGTGCCTATTTTCTACCGCAACCATATGCTGCGATTGGCACGCGTGCGCGTGTGCGCGCAACGTTTAAATCCGGCCTCCTGCTCTGACGCGGTGCCGAGATGTCTCCTCTTCACTCGTGCGCAAATTAGGTCACCTAACGTACGGAGGGCTTTTGAAGTTCACCTCGCAGCTTCTGGAAGATACGCGTCACCTCTGCACCTCGCGACCAAATATGATATGACAGGTAATGATGTCATATCTCTCCAAAATAGCCGAGGTAACTTCTCTCACCGGCATGGAAATAAAGGGGAAACGATGGTCTTCCGGTTGCTTTAGTATGAAAGTTAGGTCGACCAGTTCCATGAGCAATCGCGGCAGTCCTGTCGCCCAATGTGCCCAGCACGGCCGGTTTGATCGCAGCGGCCGGCCGGAGCAGCCGAGACAGTCACCGGCGACCGCTTCGTTTAGCGAGTAGGTCGCCGGGCTCGCTTTAAGTGGGCTTTGGCCTACATCGTGGAAATGCATCACCGAGACTCGTCAGCAGCCAGGACTCTGCTATCAAACGGTTGCAAAAAGCTTCGTTTGGCTCACTTGACTGGAAATAAGGATTCAAGCGGCATTGCCGATGCAATGGCAATCGAACGATTCGATCGATAGCGGCGCGGCGGCTGAACCGTCTGAAATAGGCTCTCGCGTGTTACAGGAGGCTGCGAGGCATCGCATAGCAGCACAAGTGCGGCCTCGTTGTACAGACAGAGTTGCTATTCTACGCGACGTGAAGAGAGGTTGGTGGTCTTACCTTAGTGGAAGCTTCTGGTGAACTGCCTCGCGGGAGCGAGTGTCTCATTTGACTGTCGGCGTGCCACGATATCCGAGCGGGATGACGACAGGTGCACTCTCCACCGTCGCCTCCGCCTCCGCCTCCACCTCCTTCTTCTTCTTCTTCTCCTCCTCCTTCTTCCTCGTCCTCTTCTTCTTCTTCTTCTTCTTCTTCTTCTTCTTCTTCTTCTTCTTCTTCTTCTTCTTCTCTGGGAAGCCAGACGTAAACATGACCCGGCCACGCCTCCCCGTCGTTGGAGCCATGAAAGGGAGGGCCTTGTGTTGGACTCCTTGTCATCTCGATGTGGGAAATGAACAAAGACATATTCAACTGTCACCTTACGATACATCTATGACGAGTATTTTTAAACGCAATTGAAAGGGAATTAAGAGATCTTGCTAATGAAGGACAAACACGAATGATACTAAATGTTAATAATTGGACTCACTCTCAGCGTTCAAATGCCTGAAAGTTGGTGGAGGGTTAAAAAAAAAAAAAATCTATAAAGCGCATGAACGCCACACGCTCTGCCATTGGCCACTGTCTACTGGCAGGTGGCCTCTGACTGGCTGAGAGGAGTCAGATGGCCATTTACGCAAGTGCGTCCGGGATCCAAAGTGCCGCGTAGTTTTCCTCATAGCAGTTATGGACCAGAATAATGGTGAGTTTTCGTTTAGTTTACACATCCATTCGTGTGTATAGCTGGAGAATTATAACCAATAACAGACATTTTAATTACAACTAACCTGCTGCTCGCTTAGAACCGTTAGTGACAGAATTCGCGTATTGGTCGTCCTCAAATAATTTGTCACTTCACTTGTGAACGAGAGGCTATTTGCTGAGCGTGGAAAATTTAAGAGTTCTCTTTTGACTTGCAAATAGAGAGTACAGATATCTTTTCAAATTGAGGGACCACAGCCGAAGAAGGGATCATTCAAGTATTGATAAGGGGCCAGATACATACCGGAGAACCGCAAGGAAATGGTTGCCGTTCATCAGTTCGCACCACTGAATCCGACTCGCTGTCTTCGTGTCTTCCTAGAGAGCAGCAGCCTGGCAGGAGTGCGCCATGTCATCTTGGTTCTGTCCGGAAAAGGAGGTGTGGGGAAGAGCACCATCACCGCCGAGCTTGCTCTGGCACTGAGGCATGCTGGGAAAAAGGCTGGTTGTATTTAAAAACTAAGCGGACAAAGACTTTTCCATGCATTCCCTTGTATTGTACTGCTCTATATATTGACATATACAGGGTAGGCGAAAAGGAAGTTGGCACTTTTGGATTATTGGATTCGCGGTAGGGAGAGAGGAGAAAGAAACAGAAAGGGGGAGGAAAGAAATAATGTCTGGAAGGAGGACGAATGAAAATGGTCGATGGCAAGGAAGGAGGGAGGCACGAAAGGAAAAAAAATGAGAGTTGCGGTAAAACCGAGGGACGGAGGAAGGAAGATCAAACCGGACAGAGGGAGGAATGAATGACGGAAGGAGAAGTTGAAGGAAAGGAGCAAGGCGCCAAGAAAGCAAGGCTAAGTTGATCGAGAGAAGGAAGGGAAGAGCGGCTGGGGCGGTACGCAAAGAACGAAGGAATGTTGAAAGAAGTGTCTCCTTGTCCTTAATAAGTGTCAAATTGCCGCTGCAATCCATTTGGGATCGTCGACCTTTTTTGTTGAGTTTTTTTTGCGGCCAGCCTGCGCAGTGCATTGAGTTGGCGGCATTCCATCAGGTGGGCATCCTGGACGTGGACTTGTGCGGCCCGAGCATCCCGCGCATGCTGAGCGCGACTCGGCGAGACGTGCACCAGTGCGACTCCGGCTGGGTGCCCGTCTACGCGGACGCAGAGAAAAGCCTCGCGCTCATGTCCGTCGGCTTCCTGCTCGATGACCCGGACGAAGCCGTGGTGTGGAGGGGGCCCAAGAAAACAGGTGGCATTTCAACTCAAATGTCGAGTCGCCTCCGCGGGGACATTCTTGCTCTTGAACTGGTCGTCGTCCTCTTTTGCCTTCTTAGCGATGATTGGCCAGTTTGTGTCAGACGTAGCGTGGGGAGAGTTGGACGTCCTGCTGGTGGACACGCCGCCGGGGACATCCGACGAGCATTTGGCCATATTGGAGAACCTCAAGAAGCTCAAAGTAGCTGACGGGGCGGTTTTGGTCACCACCCCCCAGGTGAAGAAAAAGGACGAGCTGAACGAGTGCCTGGAAACTTTGAGCTGTGTCGTTTTCCAACTTCCACGTCTTGTCTTCCAGGCGGTGTCAACGGGGGATGTCAGGAGAGAGGCGACATTCTGCAAGAAAACTGGATTGCGCATCCTGGGCATCGTGGAAAATATGAGCGGCTTTGTCTGCCCTCACTGCTCAGTGGGTGTCATTTTGTCACAGCCCCCCCGACCCCCACCCCCCACACACACACACACTTTTTTTTGTTTTGTTTTGTTTTTAGGAATGCAGCAATATATTTTCTAAAGGTGGCGGCGAGGAGTTGGCCAAACTTACAGGATGCCCTTTCCTCGGTGAGTTTGTCAGATTGGATTGGGGAGGGAAATGGCATGAGAAGAAACGGATCGTCTCCCGTGCAGGTTGTGTGCCCTTGGATCCTCAGCTGAGTGCCAGCTTGGAGCAAGGCAAAGACTTCCTCAAGTCATTCCCAGACAGCGCCACCTTCAGTGCCATTAGCGGCATTACGAAGACACTCCTCAACAGCCTCCAAACCAAAGAGTAAAAATGCAAACATGCAAAGGCTCCAGCCTGACCAAGGAAGTATTGTGCGGATAACTTCACGTCACATGGTGTGAAAACTTGAACTTAAACGCAAAATGCATTGCTGAGTACCTCGTCTCTGACTGCAGTCATATTTTGCAATAGATTTTTTTTTTTTTAAATTCAAGGTGTTTGTTTTCCTGTGACTGACCCTAATTTGAAAACATGTTTCACAAAACACCACGAATTCCATGTTATCTTTTACTCAACGGTGGGGCGTAAATAATGGCCACTTTGGGGAAGCCACTCAAATCTATTTTGAAATGGTTTTAATTTGCTTGTGGAAACATTCATGTCGACACATCAGGATATTACAGGATGGTCAAGTTGACATCAAGGCATCAGAAGTAGATTCAGGAAACGTAGTCCAGGTCAAACGTTTGAAAAACTCCAGCAAAAACGAGTCCCACTTGACGCTTCCATTCAGTCAACCCGGACCGACCGCGCTCCTGGCAACTGAAATCAGCTAACTTTTTTTTTACTTGATAAGTTCAGGGCAGAAATGAATAGAGAAAAGAAACGGCATCTGCAATCAAGGTTTACGGCCAATTTTGACATTTAGGCGGCAGTCCCTTTGTATGCACCGTTTCCCATTCGTCATTGCAAAAGTGAGCCAGCGTTTCGAAGCTAACGACGCCTCATGGAAGGCTTCAGCTGCGCTTGACTTGCAGAGGAGATGCAGAAAGTCGCTGCAGCTTTGCAAAACGCCCCTGAAGGTGAGATTCAAAACTGGATACGATACAAAGTCTATAATAGACTGCGCTACCTTTTTTTAAACTTTGTGAGGCAAAGCACTTCTCACAGCAAGGATCCAGGAGTCAGCGCAACCATATTCATGTGCCATTCAACTTAAAGAGCACTTGCCTGCAAAATGCCGGTGCCCCACTCTAGTTGTCATCGGCTCAATCGCGGTCTCCTGAAACACTGTTTTCGGAATCCAACAGTGACAAAACGCTTCACAAAAAAAAAAAAAAAACATGCAGGATTCAAAGAGCTGGAATGTGTGGAAACGTTAAGGTAAAGCCACAGATGAGTCGGAGTGGCAAAGAGCGGATGGGGAATGTTTTGGACACTCAACAGCAGTTATACACACCTTTCATGCAAACAGCAGTAGGACAGGAAAAGACAGAATGAATCGGGCTCAATACGTCAAATCCAACCATTCCACCTGCAGTGCCTGTGTGTGTGTGTGTGTGTGTATATATATATATATATATATACACACACACACACACACACACACACACACACACACACACACACACAGGTAAATATACACACACAATGTGTGAGAGAGAGAGAGATACCCCAGGTTAGACTTTATGCATTTCAATGCTTTAATGGACATTTTTTATAAATAAAATCACTGGAGAGGATGGGGGGGGCGTCAATTTTACAAATAGATCAAGATGAATGCAATCCTGCGGGAGGGCCCAATTAAGAAAAGGGAGCGTGGGGATGGAGGCGCATGGTGTAATCATCATACGATTGTTTTCACACACGCATACATGCGCGCGCACACGCACACACACGACAAATGACTACATTGCACATTTACAAGTTGCCTATCAATTTTGTACACATTGTTGAGATGAGCCCATATCATGGAGCCATTTCAATTTTTTTTTTGGGGGGGGG